CAAGATACAAAACGATTCTACATCTATGAATCAGTTGCAAATAGCAGGTGAAAAATCCCTTACTGATCAGTGGATAAACTCTTCTAGGCCAGGAACATTATGTGTGTCGAATTTAAACTTCAAGGAAACAGCGAGAAAAGATGGATATATTCTTCAAGACGTGGAATTCAATGCTCCATCAGGAAGCTTGACGGTTGTCACTGGACCAGTGGGCAGCGGTAAATCAACTCTCCTCTCAGCGATCGCTGGCGAGATTTCAGACATAAGCGGAACAATAAGCCGTCAAGGAACCTTTGTGTATGCGCCGCAAATAGCCTGGGTGTTTTCTGGAACCTTAAAAGAAAATATTTTATTTGGAGAGTCGTACGATGAACCAAGATACACCAGAATAATCGAGGCGTGTGCACTCACAGAAGATTTTCAGCAGTTTCCGAAGGGTGACCAAACAGTTGTTGGCGAGCGCGGTACCGTTCTGAGCGGTGGTCAGCGTGCAAGAGTAAGCTTAGCACGTGCAGTGTACGTGGATGCAGACCTTTATTTGTTGGACGACCCTCTGAGTGCGGTGGACTACAAAGTTGGTGGGCATATCTTTGAAAAGTGTATCAAGTCTTTGCTTGGTGAGAAAACCCGACTGTTAACTTCTCATCAAGAGCAACACATGAAAGATGCCGACCAAGTGATTATGCTGCACAAAGGATGCGTTCTGGGAAAGGGAACGGTCGAGGAGCTTAAAGAGAAAGGCATTTTGGATTCCACAATCGACCCACTTTACAAGAATACTTCGACAGATATCAAGTCTAACGACATGGTCGCCGCAAGGGAGGATGAAGAAATACGCGGCGGTTTGATGCCCCTAACTTCTGATTGCACTGATATGAAAATATCTGTTGAAGATCGGGCAATCGGAACGGTGTCAAGTAAGCTTTACTGGGGCTACTTCAGAAGTGGTATTCACTCCTTGTTCATTATTGGAATGATTTGCCTGTTTTTCATTACACAAGGTGAGCAGAGTAATTGAAGCAGCAAAGACTTAATTAGTCTCCTTCGTAGCCATTGTTTGGTGTCGTCAAGTAACGTTCTCTCATGGGGGCAGCGAGCGAACGACCAACCAATTCAAGAAACTCCAACCCAGTTGCTTCTTGTTTTGGAGCAGCGAGAGGAACCCGGTATGTGCAAGGGGTGACAGAATTTACGTGTTAATACGGACTAACAACCAGTCCGCTACTTTAAAAGAGGGAAGATCATGCGTTCTTATCCTGTTATGGAAATTCTCTATGTCACCTGACTTAGACCGATAAGCATATTTAGAATTTAGAATTTAATTCATTCGCCATTGTATTTCCGTTCTTTTTCAGCATCGATGGTTGTCCCTGACGTATGGTTGTCCTTTCTGACTACGAAACATCCACCAGAACAGAAAGACGAGAAAAATCTTACTATCTATAGCTGTTTGGTCGCTGCTTCCTTCATATTAGGCATCGTCAGGGCCTACATTTTCTTTTTGGTTTGTCTAAGATGCTCTGAGCGTCTTCACGACAAAATGGTTGTGGCTCTTTTAAAAGCACCGGTTCTTTTCTTCGACTCAAATCCCGCGGGTAGAATCCTAAATCGATTCTCTAACGATGTGGGTTGCATGGATGAGTTATTACCGCTACAGTTTCTATCTACAATTCAGCTGGCTTTGTTGTTGCTCTCATCGATTATAGTGCCTTCTGCTGCGAACCCTTGGCTTTTGTTTGTCACCATTCCAGTGACAGCTATGATTCTTTATTTCGCGAGATTTTACTTGAAGAGTTCCAGAGAACTAAAAAGATTGGAATCAATATGTCGAAGTCCAGTCTTCTCTCACATATCAGAGACTCTTGATGGACTAGACACGATTCGAACAAGAGGTAGACAGAGAGATTTTATGGACAAATTTTACAGGTAAATTGGTGCAACTTTCCAAGTGAGCTTGGAAGGTAAAACTTTAATTTCAAGCTCAATTCAGCCCCGAAACGCAAACTGCTCTTAGTGCACCCTTTGTACAACTCTTGCAGTGCAGACTTAATTATTGAACTCGAGATGATTTACGTTAATTCATTTTCTTTTCCTATGGACAGCTACCAAGACACTCATAACCAGTCATTCATCATGGTGACGGCGAGTGGCAGATGGTTTGGTGTACGTCTAGATGCAATCATTTCTCTTCTAATTGGCTTAGTGGTCCTAGTGGCAGTTTTAGTATCTCAAGATGCCGGTATGTGGAGTTCCAACCAAAGTAATTGCGCCGTTCCGCGCTCATGCACACCCAAAAGCTGNATGAGCAGTAGCTGGAGACGGATCAGCCATGAGTTCCGAATGCCACCATCACCCTGATGGAGTCACGACAGCCGACAAATGAGAGGCCGCCCAAAGGATACTTGGAGGAGAACCGCACAAAAGGACACGAGGAAGAGAGGCTAGTCACGAGGTCAGATGGACCAACGAGTAACCGGCAGAAGTTAATGGGGTTCTCTGGCCGCTGCGTTATATGCTTACACGCACGAAGAGGACTAACTTTCCAGAGCGTTGCAACGCTATAAGTAACGGCTGTTCTAAGTATTCTACATTTTTCACAGAGTTTCTTTCTGCGGTAAACGAATTGCGCTTATTCTGCTAGGTGAAACAAACATTATGACGATAATTACCTAGGAAGATAAAGAAAAAACTGAAATTTTTCGGAATCAATCAAATTCGTTATTATAATTTGTGTCGGCAAGACGGAGAAAATAGAAGGCCACCTGCACTGATTTCATTAATTTCCATCGATCATTTATTCATTAGAAAGTAAGTTGAATTGAACTAAAAAAAATTTAGTACGCAAAAGCGAAGATTTCCTCAACCTTTAATTCAAAGAAATTCTTCAGCAACTTCAATTTTACAATTCTAATCTTTATGAAACATTTTGCTGGGAAAATGTGCAAAGGTTGAACACCGCTTGATATTTGAGCATACGTTCTTTATAGAGTTGTAAAGATTTACTGTTAAAAGGGCGTTACTATGGCGTTCCAAAGAGTCAGAACACATCCAGCCATGGTCGAGAAAACAGTAAGAGCTATGATAGGCAAACTGTGTTCTGTTTGTCCAATGGGGACCTGTAGAACAAGGCTCATCCTAGACTCTGACTGATCCTGAAAAGAAAGAAGGGAATAAGTCAATGCAGGTATTCTATACCATGGAAAGGGAAAAAAAACTTATTAAATCATTCCTTGTTTTAGTTTCATGCACCACACGAGAACACCAGACTGTGGGACAGCCTGTGTTAGTTCAGCACTCGCCCGATTGAAGGGGTTAACGTCACAAGAGATTCCTAGGTTGGGGGACTGCTTCTGTCCGTGCACCCTCCACCCGACTGAAACGGGGTATTTTCGTATGAGAGTGCCTGGCTGTGGGATGCCTTTAATTGACTAAAGGCCAGATGTGGTAAAGGAAACCTCTCATCTCCTGCAACAATACCTTGCTCCTTAATTTTAGTGCAATCCAGTCACATGTTGACAGTCGTTTTGCATCACATGGAGCTTGTACCGGGTCACTTCCACAGCGATCGGTAGGAAAGGCAACTCCTGTAGTTCAAAAAAAGGAAAGATATAAAACAAAATTTTCAAAGGGCACGTGAATGATAAAAAAAGCTTCACATGGCAGAGAACAAACAATTCCAGAGGACGAAACTTACAGCTTCTAAACCCTTAGATGAATATCACACCCGAGAATTAAATTTGTGCTCGGCACATCGCCCTTTGATATGATAACTGAGTGAACAACTAGATATAAGTACAGTTACTCAGACCATAATAGATTTGCGCATGTTCTCAGTTGTTGAAAGGTTTATAGGACTTTTAGAAGCACATAATTTAAAAATGACCTTGACAAAATTACTTATTTGACAATTTTGAAGATGGAGAACAAAATGAAGTAAACGATGTTGCTCTGATAACCACTACTCTGGGAGACATCTTAGCTTTTTTGAGGTGTGATTTTTCGTCACATCCCTCTTAACTCACGAAGTCGATTATTTCGAGACACTTTTGCGACGCCTTGTGGCTTGACTTGGTTGGTATGAGTCTGCATTGGTGATTTCTTTGCTTTAGGAAACACGCGGTGCAACAAAACAACAACAACAACAACAACAACAAAACTTGTTTCATTAATTCACAAATCAAAATTTCATGTTAGCTTCCACCCACACATAGAAGAGCCTAATCGAGGTAGGGGAAGAGACACAGAAGTTTAAAGAGAGGAAAAGACGAAAAATATTTTACAAACAGTACCAGCTGTCGCAAAATGAAATTATGGTATCAGTTAAAGATATTATTAAGATACAGAAATGGCAACGTGAATAACACAGAAACTAAAATTCAAGCGTGTTTCAGAGCTATCCAAATTTTAATTAATTGGTGCATAATTTCGGTGATGTCTAGGTAGTCATCAGATTTCAATAAAACTTCAGAGAGTTTATTCCCTAAGGAGACCCTAACACAATAAGAAAGGTTACCTTCCCTTCTAGTTTTCGACTGAGAGCCAATGAGGCTCAAGGCTGATATCAAAGGTGACGTCACTCAGACTCGTCCCCAAGGTCCTCTCTTTTTCAAGGAACCCGGAAGAAGGTTATTGTGTTCTGTGCGAGCTCGCTTAGAGCATGGGAAATACAGCTAATTAAGACGGCATATGAGCTGACATATTTGTCAAATACTCCATATTTAACAAATGAACAACAATACTTCGGCAGAAATGTAAGAAGCCTGATCGTGTGATGTCTGAGGAAAGCAGTATATCAGATGTTCGAGCAGAAACTGATAATCTCTTTGTATCAGGTATCTTTGGAAGTATCATTTGAAGTGTTTCTAGAGCTAAGGTGCTTCTAAGCAAGTCATAGGCAATACGTGGTACTGAGACAATCTTCGAAATTTCACTGAGGCCCTGGGGTGATGCAATGTTTATGAGGACCTTGATAACACATTGGATGTGGCATGGCTCGCAATGGTTGGAATTAGAATTTTCTTAGTTATAAGGAACACAGGAACTACATACCCTAGAAAATGATGAATAGCTTACATTATTAGGTATTTCAATATAGATTGATGAAAGTTGTGTTGTTTGATGCCAAAAATTTCATTCGTATTATCAGCAAACCACAAGGATAGTGTCGGAAAAACGTGTTTACAAAGCAAATTGATATTGTTGTGACTTTCTGATGATTGAAAACACATTTTCCAAAGTACGTATCGCTTGGTATAGAAAAGCACCTAGATTTATCAGAGTAACCTTTCTTAAAACGGCTGTAGACATCATTGAGATTCACCTCGTCACCAAACTTGATCGTTCTCTGTCTCCTCAAATCACACACTAATCTTACGTTTCTCATAACTTGTCATCTGCAGTGCCATTTGAAGTGAAGGAATGGGATGAGAAAGCTAACCTCTCCCCACATCATTTGTCTTATATCATCACCATTCTTCTTCCCAAGCGACTGGTAACTTTAGAGCGAGACATCGACATAGAATCACAGCTCAAAGCATTTTGCGAAAAGAATCACATAAATAATGCAATACCTATTGGTAGTTCAACAGAAGGCTTCAGTATTCCTTATTCTATGTCATATGAAGTAGATTCTCATCTTGGCGCTTATGTTGATGCAGATGTACTATTTGTTGAGAATGATTTCCAGATATCCATGATAGATCCAATCCAAGATGTGGATACCCAAGCCATATTAGAATCTGATGATGTTCATCCAGGTTATGGCAGAGTGAGGCTACTGCAGCACAGTCCTGAGGACCTAAAAGATGTTGTGACTCACAATGATAAAAAATACCTGAGCGGACAACGGATTCAGAACTCAGCACACAAGAAGATGACCAGAGGAAGGTCTGAAGATGACCAAACATCCATTGGTCTTCATGGTCCAGCAGTATCAGTTGAGTATTCAACAGTCTTAAATGCTGACAATATACAAACCTATGGTGTTAGGATTCCACTTGACATGGTTTATGCAGTTCAGGTGAAGCAGTGGCCTCCAGAGGCAACTCAATGGGTCCAAAGAGTAAAGAGAGGAAACTGGCTTGGAGATGACTTGATTGAATCAATTGTTTCAGAAGGATGCTATGTTGTACCAGTTGCACACAAGCACAGCCTCAATCCAGACATAGAATGGAGAATTTCTTTTGCAGTTACGGAGAAAAGAATTGCACAGAATGCTGTAACTGATGCTCAACGTCAATGTTACATCTATTTCAAAATGCTACGGCACCTTTGTCTGAAAGATTTAGAGGTGATTTCTTCATACTGTTTGAAGACTGTGTTGTTCCATGCTTGTGAGGTTATTCCAAAGCCTACCTGGGAGACTCATACTGGACAATGCTTCCTATACCTAGTTGATAGTTTGATAAGTTGTGTCAAACAAAGAAACATTCCAAGCTTTTTCATGCCAAGCAATAATCTTGTGGATGATGTACCAGAGGAGAAATGGGGAGAAGTGGAGTCCAGGCTCCTGGAAATCAGGAAAGATCCTATAACACCAATTTTGAAGTTTACAGACACAAATGCAGTTAGCAATACAGAGATCCCATTTGTATTTCGAAAAAATATTGCATTTGTCTTGGAAGACATGGAAAAGTTCAAGGTCCACAGAGACATTAGAAGATCTGCATTTGATGCCTTTTTCACAACTTCCTTTAGAATGAGTTTGCTATACTTAAACCAAGGCAAACCAAACAAAGCTGTTCAGATTTTAATAGACTCCTATCCTACACTTGACCATTTCCTTGGACCAATGCCACTCGTTTACTTTCTCAATGAAGCTGCAATTCTGATCCAAGATGGCCGGCTTTATCTCCTTTTGCTTCAGGAACTCCTTGGAATGGCCAACCAACATCCTGACTTCAAGCTGCTTGAGGGAAATCTGGCTTGTGCATACCATGCAGCTTCTTACACGTATCCTGAGGAATCTTCCAAGAGAGCTGAATATCTGAAGAAGGCAGAGGAACTTGTTCGAGAAGATGTGAAATCTCAAAGCTCAAGCTCTTGTGGGACACAGGTCACATTTGCCACCATTCTGATGTCACAGAAGAAATACAAAGAGGCCATAGAAATTCTTGAAACTGTTGTGAACGCAGCCAACAAAAGTGCACAGGAAGAAATCCAAAGTGATATGACAGAATTTGGATTCAGTGAACAAAAAGTGCTTGATGAAGATTTACAATCAGAAATTTCAACTCATATGAAAATAGAAGGGCCATCACTTATCTTTGTATTTTATTTTCTGGTCACATGTTTAGTTCTGGAAGATGAAGTTACAAAACTAAAGACTATTTTTGAAGAATATCAGAAGGTGTGTGACCTGTGTGATGATATCACAGGATACAAACTTCTCGGTTATAGCTTTTATCAAGTAGGAGACAAGAAGAAAGCAAGGGATGCCTTCACATCAGCTTTGCAGAAAATGCCTGGAAGTAAACTTCTTTTATCAAACATTCAAAAGTGTTCAGAGTAACAAATTGGCCTTTGATTTGCCACACAAGATAATAATAATAATAAAAAATCTAATATATGTTAATTGAAGCTCCCCCTTAGGGGCTTTTCAGCGT